GCCCCATATATAAATACATTGTTCTGAGTAGGCGATTGAGTGAAAATCTCTGGCAATTACACGCACTAGACCAGAAACATTTAGGTCTCGTAATGTTACTACTTCTCGAAAAACTGCTAATTTATCGCCTGCATCACGAACTCCCAATTGTTTATCCTCGTTTAAGCCACAAGCAAATACAGCAGAATTATCTGTTAGCAATAATGAATGCTTTCGAGACGCGCTAATGCATATTACTCGTTCCCCATAGCTCTTTTTTGGAATCTTTACCTTTTTAGGTGTAGCTAGACTGTGCTCACCACCAATTCCTGTGTATAAATAAAATTTTAATTAAAATATAATCTCACATATTTCAGAATATACATGCACCTAAACGTCCGCCCTCTCCATGCCCCACCGAGTAAAGTATTCCTTTTTTATCCAAAAATAAACTATGATAAGCACCGAGGGCGACATTATCAAGTAATATATGTTCCTTTCGAAAGAAGTCAACCGACTGTGGTGTATTGGTCGGTTCCGAATTTCCTGTTCCCAAATTATAATTTTTATTTGTACCCCAAACTAAAATTTCGTTACTGCTTGGTCTGAAATTGAAAAACATACACAAATTTGAATAATTGTAGGTTTCGATGGCATAAACAAACATGAAATGTTAATACTTACTCATATGAAAATATAGGAAAATCACGGGGCCGACAAACATTCTGTAAAGCACAACGAGTATCATCATCCAACAGTTCTGGACTGGCTCCATACCGCAACAGAAGAACTGCACAATCAATGCAGCCGTAATATATGGCACGATGGAGTGCACTACTACCAGATTCAAAATCACGACTGTTTATAATGGCCCCCTTAATATTCAAAATATACTTTCGGTTCTACACACATGTATGTATATATCAAAGAAAATGTCAAACATACATGATTAAGCAACCACTCGAGTATGGCATAACGATTAACCGATGCAGCCAAGTGCACTGCAGATCGTCCCTAGAAGATTAAGTTAGCTTCAGTGAAATCAAATGCCCATAATTTATTTTTGGAAATTACCAGATCATCTACTATATCAATGTAATTAGCGCAAGTTTTTGCAATATATGCACCAAGGTAGTCGTCTCCAATTGAACGTTTGGTCAACGCCGCAGTTATTCTATTTCCATGTTCAACATAACGACATTTACGAGTACAATCATATTCATAGTTTTTAGATGTAAATGTTGATATTTTGGCAGTCGCCATGTCCAATTCCTATATATTGTATTCAGACAAGTAGCAGACAATCTTAATAAGACAAAACCTTTCCCGACGCCTCTGAAAAACGCACTTTATAATGTCACAACAAATCAAATTTTCGACAGCTTTGTGTTTTCGCGTTTATTTGCAATATTTTAAAAATAATTTCACAACTTGGCTAAAATGAAAATGTTGACAATTTGCGAAAAGAGTTCCCAACATTTTTGTGACTACGCTGGCAACAGGGTGACTGCAATTTGTGTAAACAGCGCGATTGGTTATACTAACAACGAAACCTTTGACTTAAATAACCAAGGCATATCCTTTTTTAATTTTTTGCGAAGATAAAACTAACTTTAGGTTGCTTTATTCAAATAAATCATTAAATTAAGAATTAAAATTTTTAAAAAAACTTGTATCACCCTTTAAATTTTTACAAAATTCATTAATGTAACTAATCAGCTGATCTAAACAAATACAACAGCTTTAAACTAGTGATGGCAATTTTTCACGCCCAGAATTTACAACCGGTTTCTATTTTTTGAAATTATTTAGAGAAAACAATTTTGAAATGCCAGAGGAGCTAAAAGAATATTTAATTAATGTAACGAATATATACCACAGTTGAGATTGTTTTTACATTTATTCATGGTAGATTTAATTATTATGTTTCTTTTCAAAGAATGTTATTCCAACTTCACTTTTTTCGATCTGAAAGATTTCACATGTTCTTTTCTCCCCTAGAAGCAGGGCATTTGTAGGTGAATATCGAACCACTATAGCATGTATGTATGTAGTATATGGTTGCTATACAAACTAAACGATCAAAGAAATATCCGTGTATGGAAAACACTTTTATTTGACGAGATATCTTCAAGAAATTTGGCATGGCATCCACCGAAAAAATTGTTCAGATCCTTTTATGCTATAAAAAATGCACCTGTGAAGGGTATTATAGCTTCGGTGTAGCCAAATTTTAACTTTTTTCTTGTTTTCATAAATTTTAAACTTATTGTGTCAGTATGTATAATCATGCTTTGCATTTTATTATAAAGTTTTTCGTATAGCTAAACAAAAATAATTTATAAAGTAAATAATACAAAATTTAAATTATGGAATTTTTAGATAATTTTTCGTTGGAAATCGAATTATGCGTACTAAAGATTGTAATGAATGGATTTTTAAATCTACAAACAGTTTTTTCTAACGGATTGCCTTCTTATTTTTTACATATATTTAGGATTGTACAAGTATAATGTGAATCCCGCAGTTTGAAAACAGGCATTGACTTATTTGTAGATCCAATTACAATTTTTGCACGCATTAAAAATAATTCCAAAGACAAATTTTACAAAACTAGTTATATGATACGCAACACAAATACAATTCTATGCAAAATAGGGTGATTTAACCGGTATTTTTTAAGTATAAAATAATTATTTATGATGTAAATAAAATTATGAGTACAAAAACTGAGCAAAACCGATCATAAATGATATATAAATAAGATTTTTATCACCATTGAGTGAATCGTTGAACGGGCAATGCCCATATTCCTAGTTATGTATAATTTCCATTTTATTATGGCGAACTATATTACTATTTTTACAATATATTTATAACAGCGGAATATATAGAGTTATAAATACATCGAACTTAATAATAATTATACAAAGTGGTATGTCGAGATTTAATATCAATTCTTAATTTTCCAGCATACTGCGCTTAAGCGCCTCCTGCAAGTCCAACTCGAATGTATCCGATTTGGAGTAGTCGGCAGCGAATTTCTCTGCAACTTTGTCGCCATTTTCACCAGCTGTGCCCCCCACAGCAAAGGCTACATCTGGATTTGACACTTTACTTAGAGTTGTGACATTTTGTACTTTTGTCAATGCCGTAGCTCCTAGTGCATCTTTAGGAAATACCGATAAAGATTTTACCTCTTCATTATCATTTAAATTTTTGGAGTTGTTTAAAACAGTATCAAAATCGTTCGTAAAATTATGACTGTTGTTAAATGCATCGAATTTTCCGAAGCTATTGTCTGCCAGCGCTGTTGTCAACTTGACATCAAAGTTAGCATTTGCATTATTGTCTTTTATCTTAAAGAAATCATCTTCGAATGTATTGTCATTGAAGTCATCAAACACTTTAGACGATTTAGTAATGGCCGAATTTCCTTTAGGATCCACCACTGCTGAGTCACTACGCTTGGAAGTACTAAAGGCATCAAATGCATCCAAATTTGCCTTGCTGTCACCAAATGGATCGAAAGTGTTTGCTTTTGACTTGCCGGTTAGAGTACTTGCCTTCACATCACGATTAGAATTGTTATCAAAATTATCATTAAATGCGTCAAAGAAAGAATTATTTGCATTGGTTATGGGCTCTTGTGACTTGCTGTTTTTGAATGCAGACTCCAGTTCACCCAACGAGGACAGGGCTACTGTCTTTTTCGGTTTCGTCGCGTCAAATTTATCAAAATTGGCAAAGTCATCAAATAAACCATCTCCACCGGCACTACCTACGTCCCCCGTTGCATGTGGAATAGGTGTAACGCTATTCGATTTCTTACTTGAGCTACTAATACTACTCTGACCCCCATTGCCAAAACCTATACCCGTTAAACCACCCGATGTTGAAGACTTTTGTGAAGGTACAGGACTAGGATTTAAATTGAAAGCATCGAACTGATCAAGAAAATCAGCGCTTAACGGAGTTGCAGATTTATTGCTAACTGCAAAGGTTTGAGTATTGGTGCTATTTGTCGTAAAACCAGTAGATGAAGTCTTGCCCTTATCATCGTCTAAAACAAAAATGTTTTAAATCGTAACATCATCAAACTTACAATTGCATTGGTAAAACAAACCAAAAGGAAATTAGTAAGTAAAATATAAAAATAAATTACTGCTATTTACAAAAAAACAAAAAAATTATAGATCACCTGAGAAATCGTCCTTGAAAATCTTCTCCGGATCCGTATCTATATCTTCATCATCCGCGAATGGGTCTTTAATACTAAATGGATCCTCATAACGATAGTCCTTGAAGGGATCATCTGAAAAATCTGTCGGACCACTAATAATAGATGTTCGGCTTTCCCGCACATTCTCCACGGAAACATCGGCCACTGTTTCGCTCGATTTATTCACAAACAAGGACGTTGCAGCGGACGCCTGCTGCAGCGGTGTGATGGAACGCTTTAAGTTATCATTTATAGACGAGGACGTTGTAGATGAGTTGTTGGAATTGTTTGCAATTGCCGTTAATGTAGACACTGACGTAGATGGTGATGAGCTCGATACCGATGCGAATGTATTGGTGACTGGTGTGACCACCTTTGTAATTATGGGCATGTCGAATGAGCTACTGCTGTTGCTGTTTGTACTGTTATGTGACACAAGTGCAGATGTTAATTGTGGAGGGAATGCTATAGGCGGTGGAATGCTCGAGACCTGTAGCCATATTTAAATTTGATAAACAAGTTGAGGTTCAATTGCCATTGTGTATGCATGTGGACGAGCGCAGGTGCATTCGTGAAGATGAAATGCCAAATAAAAGAAACAAAACCAATTCAAAACAAAGAAAAATAGTTTAAATTAAATTATACATTTTTAACAATGTGCGTACAAATGTATTGTACATTACAAAATTATAAGTTAGCAAATAACCCAAGGTGCATTTAAAATAAACTATATTATACATACATACATACACAAATAAAATTTAACAAAAGGAAACAAAAAACAAAAAAGTTTAGTTAATACTCCAAAACCACAACATATGCATTTATTTTCATTAATTACTTACTTGTGGACAGGCCTACTACTTAAGTCATTTCTAAAACTATGCGAATTTTAAATGATTACTAAAATATAGCAAATGTAAAGTAATGCTGTAAACTTTTGCAAAAGTCAAGTTCGTTGTTCAAATTTTGTGATTGAATAAGAAGAAACAGGAGAATCAGAACTTTGCATTATTTACTTTTATTTCTCTCAATATTTGGTGAAATTATATCATCAATTTCAATTTTATGCCATTGTAATAGTCATAAGCTATTTCTTTTGATAATTTCATTTTTTTTTCTTTTAGTTTTTATATATTTATGTAGGCAATTCATTTTATTTACTATTTTTTTTATTTTTTATATGCGGCTATAGTTCGTTTTGTAACATACAATACAATACAATAATAAGTAATGAACGTCTTCAACGTCTAGATAAATCCTTGCTTACACACTCAAGGTATAGTGCAGATGCAATGAAAATTACTGTGTGCTCCTCCATGTGTGGCCAATGTGATTTAAGGATATACATACATATAGACTTATTTGAATATTTAACATTTACGAATATACGAAATGATTATTGAATGTCTTCAGTGTTTGTGTACGCATGAGTGTTAGTTTGTACAGTTTTATTGAAAGCACGAGTATATACAAAAACATTTTGGTGAAGTTGAACATCTGCAATATTTCTGCAGAAAATTAAGTTTTCGAGAATCGTTCATACACATGCGTAATTATACTTTATCTATATAAGTATATACCACTCGAAGAAGAATTCAAAGAAAAGTTTCTTGACAAAATAATTCTTCAATAATTTCTTCAACAAAATAAATGGAGTATAGCTATGAAAACATAATAATTAATTGATCTCCGCAAGGTTGACAGAGTGCAATAGTATCGTTTAACTATTGACAGCCTGCCTTAAGGGTAACTTTAGATTTGTGAAACTCACTATTTATTATATAGTTAATTAGAAAGACAGCACCTAATGAAATTAACTTCCAAAATTCTAAAGTGGAAGCCTCTTAAAGCAAGTACGGAAGAAAACTATAAAAAAAAGGGGCTTGGTTGGTTAGAAATTTGTGTTTGACTTCGAAATGCTATATCAAAATCCATAAATGAGTGATTTGTTTTTAATGTGGTAGCAACAAAAACCATTCCTCAAATAATTTTGAGAAATGTTGTTGGGTTAACAAACCTTGGCTGGATAAAAATTCAATTCCGAAATAATTTACTTGAAATAAACTGATATTAAAAGACCCAACTGTGACCCATTGAATATGTCAAAATAAACATCATACTAGCTTTTATCTCTCGTAGAATTACCAGGCATAAAAATATAGTTATAAACAAAACTCGCCTGGCAAAATAGGATGTTAATACAAATGGAACTTATTTGAATACATATCATTAGTAATGGAAACAGTTATAATTTCAGTTTATATGTTTTGTACCATCATAAAATCATTTTGATAACGGTATAATCATTTTTATTATGTGTAACAGTTTATGTGCATATTTTTGATGATATAGTATTAATGAGGACTCAAAATGTTTATAGTTATTGTTGCGATCTTATATTGTAGTATAATAATTTTCACAATACTAGTATTTAACGGTTAAAGTTAAGTAGTTAAAATCATACTAATTATTTAACTGTTAATTTTCAATTAATTAATGAACAATATGAACAATGAACGTGATAAATATTTGTATAACCATGTACTGAAGCATTTCTCCAAAATAAAACACAAAACTTAAATAACGGAAATACGTTATTCGTTAGTCTGAATATGCTATTATTTAATATAATTTAGTTCTAGCAAATAAATGTATACTTTTAAATAAATTCAAAATTTTTCATAGCTCTTCATGGCATTGAGCCTGGAATGTTTAATTTTCGTGCGTATCTTGACATCCTTACTTGTCTTCAGTACATGGTTAGAAAAAACGTTTTTATCATATTTATAAACGAATATGCATACTCAATTTTTTAGTAACTAGTCGGCATAAGATTGCTAAAAAATATGTATAGGTCCTTGCAACACTCAAACGAAGCTTTCTTTTTCACAATGAATAGCAGTATTATATTTGGTTAGGTACGTGAACGAGTGTAATATGTTAAGTATTAGTGGGAATATGATAATATTGAATTATATTTTCATTATTCATTTCATAATACAATTTACCTATAATTGTTTTGGAATTTTACGATTTTTCGATTTTATGCATTTTCATAATTAGTATTTAAATTAACTAAGTATATTAACGACTCTTTATCTTATATGTCTCATTCATTTCCTTCATTTTCATTTTCTAAGTAGATATATGGATTAATGGGTATGTATTCGTATGTCATGGTTTATCTTTTGTCTTCTTTGTTTTGATAAGAAAAAACACTTATAGTTAAGTAACTTTTACTTAATATTTATATAAACGTGATTGATAATATGATGTTCACTGCAAATAGAGTTTCAGAAAATGGAAGCGTACTGTTAGTTATATCGGCAAGTTGAACACAATAGTGGAAAAATTGACTACAAAAATTAACTAGGAAGGCTGGCAGGTAAACAACTTGGCACTGTTTAAATTAATATAATAACCAAAAACTTTACAAGCGATTCAAATACAAAACGATGATTTTAACTTAAGAAGGAATTTATATCACTTGTGCATAAATATGTATGTAATACATTTCATTACGATGAAAAAAAAAAATGAATATTTGTGATGTGTGAATTTAATACTGACTTACTTAAACAGACTATAAATAAAAATAATTGGTAAATTACGTTTTTGTTGTATTAACTCAAAACAATACTTCAAATTTTATTGGTTAGCAAATGGTGTTTTAAACAAAAAACAAATCATAACAACAAAATCAACTAATTAAAATAAATTTTAAAAATTAATTTTGGTATATATTAAAACATGGTGTTATTAATGTTAGGTCTAAGAACAAAAAGTGTGACTTAGGGATTATGTCTAAGGAATATGTTAGTGCCAGTGTGGCATGCATGCATTACCAACGATCCCAACGTACTGTAAAATTGTTACCAACCTTATTGTCGAAATCTGCAAAGTCAGCAAAACCACCACCTCCGCCGGATGTATTAGAACCAAATGCGTCTGTAGCTGGTTGAACAGGCCGAGCTGGACCCTGTAGTAGAAAGTACACAGCTATAATTAAGTATTTGATGCACAACGTTTTTTTTTTTTAAATAAGAAAAGACCGTTCACAACTAGAAAAAAAATCTATACAAGAACTTGATGCAGGCAGCTATAGCTATACTGGTCCGATTTGAAAATTTTTTTCGGAGTTTTAAGCATTGCCTTGGACAATAAACCACGCCAAATTTCGTTAAGATATTATCACAAGTAAAAATGTTTTTTAAGCTAAACTGAGCGACTAGTTTAAGTTTATACAGGCAGACAGACGGGCAGAATGACGGACATGGCTAAATCGACTCAGCTCGCCACCCCGATTTTGTATATATATATATATTTTCTAGGGTCTACGATTTTTTTTTTCTACAAAGTTCGTGTCAAACATTATATACTCTATTCAGGTTATAAAAAATACATTATTTCAATCACATTTTGACATAGGTATGCTAAGTTAAATGTATTTTGCGCTTGACAACAACTTTGAGAAATAAAATATTTTTAATTTATATGTATGAAACTACTATTTGTAACTATCAGTAAGTATCATTCACTATTTAATTTAACTCACCTGCATTGGGCGTGGTGGTGCTGGACGCGGCGGTGGCACCTTCGATTTCTTTGGTGGCAATGCTGGACTTGGCGACTCAGGCCTCGGTGGTGGTCCAGATTTTTGGGCATTTGGGCTCAACACTTGACCCTGTCCGGTAGGTGCATGTAACGCGGCAAATGGATCACTTCCGAAGTCATCTTTACCCGGTAGCTATAATGTAAATAATTAAGCTATTATATAAGAATAAATTTGTACTAGGTTTAGCCGTCTAACGCACCTCAGGCGTTATTGCATTACTAGGTTTATTTGCGAAAGCATCTCCGCCGAAGGGATCCTTTGATGGTTGACTGAAGCCGCTATTGCTACCAAAACCATCGAATCCGCTTTCACCAAATCCACTTGTAGCCGTAAAGCTATCATCAAATCCACTGCGTCCAATAGTTGTAATGCCGCTATTAGCTGTGAAAGGGTCATTGCCAAAGCCGTTACTGGCGAATCCGTTTGTAGTTTTCGTTGCTGATTCCATAGTACTGTTTTCCCCAAATGGATCGTCCGCTTTCGGTTCCTCAATTTTCTTTTCAAGTATTTGACGCGCTTCATTGAAGTCTGGTTCGATTTTTAATTGATACTCGGATACCAACTCTGCGTCTTGATTTGAGATGGCCGCACGACACATCAACAATGCATCAGTCATTTGACGTTGAGTTTCCATTAATTGTGTTACCATCGAGCGTACCTATGGTTAAAAGTGAAGTATGCGATCTTTTGTATTTTAAATAAAAAATATTACAAATATATATTCATACCGAACTTATTTGTAATTGGGTATTTTGTAAATGTTGTGTTAGCTTTTGCAGCTCTCGATTATTTTGATCATACTCCTTTTGCAACGCAGCTTCCTCGTCTTTTAATTTTTGCAACTCAGAGCGTTTTGCATTAAGTTCACCCTCTTGCTCGTTTATGGTTTCCTCTTGTTTTTGACATTGATCACGTATTTTGGTCACCTAAAACGAAATGTTCATGTCTTACATTTTGGGATGAGACGTTAAAAATATAAGCAAACTACACGTATACTTGTTTCCAATTTACAAATTTTATATAGTCCAATTACAATGTGCAATGCAAACAAACACTAAACTCAACTATAATATTTGGCGATTTTTTTTTGTGTTGACATACATACATACAATGAAGGTTATATTAGCTAAGTATTTTTGAACGAAAAATTGTAATATTTTTAATTAATAACGATTACAACAAGGACAGATTAAGTAATATATGACTAAATTCAGTGGCAATAACACGAAATAAACGAAACAATAGCAAAACAAATCATAGGAAAATCATAAATCAAACAAACCTGAACTCTTAACTGAGTTATATCTAAAGTCAAGTTTTTTAGTACCGTCTGGTAGTCAATGCTCTAATGAGTATGTTTTTTGTTAATTTTGTCAATCGATTTCGAGCAATGATGCGAATTTTTTGATTTTTGGTAGTAAAAGTGGGTGCAAAGAAATGAGGATCATAATGCAAGGCACACACGCACGGCGAAGTAAAATTAGAAATATATGTGCAGCAATTTTGTATGTTTTCACATATGAAAGAAATAAAAATAATAATAAATTCCAATTTGAATAAAAATTTAAAAAATTGCTTTCGATCAAGCAAGCTTAAACGTTTAAATGCAGTAAATGAGTTATTGAGTTGTATTTAAATGTGACACTCAGCATTTACCTGTGCTTTCAAGTCATCCAAACGTTTCTGTGCCTCGCCACGTTGATTTTCCAACTGTTTTAGTGTAGCTGACAATGTGTCTAATTCGCTCTAAAAACATAAATATTCTTTAATTTCAACATTTGTTAATATGTACGCATTTATAGCTAACCTGTAGGCTACGAACTTCTCCCGATTTTATGCGTATATCTGCTTCTTTCTGTGCAATTTCTGTTTCCAAAGCACGACGCTCCTTGGCAAGCTCTTCAATTTCCTTGGATATCATCTCTAGCTCAGGATTGGAATATGTCGGTTTAGGTTCCTATTTACGAATTGTTTATGAGAATATTAATATACGTAAAATAAATGTGTTAATGCGATTTACTTGTGGTTGCAAATCAACGCCAGATACGATGCTACGCATAGATGGTGGTACCATATTGGCTGTCAGTACTTGAGGTGGCTCAATGCCCTTTTGTTTACGTTCCACCATCCACATAGCCAAAGCGAATTGCTCAAGAGTTAATTTTCCTGACTGATTTGTGTCACAAAGAGCCCTGTGAAAATATAATTATTTTATAATTAGTATAAAATGCAAGTTAGCCTATTTACCATGTAATAATACTGTTAATATTTATTGCTATAATAGTTTTGCATATTTTGATTTCGTTTTATACTCACCAAATGTGCGCTAAACAGTTTTGCGGTACGCCTGATTGTATGAACACATTCTTCACTTCAAGCCCCGATACAAGTCCATCCTTGTCTCGGTCTGAATCTCTGAATGTTATTTCAAAACGTTTCAGCTCGGCTGGACTAACAACCCAATCAGCACTAGCTGTTACGGAAGGTGGCGCACCGATGGGTATTAGCGGATCGGTTGATATAAGCGGTTGGGACTGCACACCACTTGCACCGACAGGTGGAACACGTGTCATTGTTGGTATCGCGACAGGCAGCGGTGGTATAGCTGGTGGAGGTGCTATATCTTTGGGAAAGTTGGCCACAAAACCGCCATCCCCAAATCCTTCACCACTTGGGGCACGCGGCATCGTTGCCGAATTGCTTGACACAATTGGCGGAGCGGGCTTTGGGGGTGGCCCACCACCGGAATTAGGCTTGCGCAACTCTGGTGGTAGCACATCTGGCACGGTGCGTTTTTCCAATGTTTGATAAACTAGATGCATTGCCACGATAAATTCATGCTTATCCAGGTTGCCATCTTTGTCCTGATCAGCTAAATCCCAAATTTTTCCCAAAGTATCCATAGGCAGTTTCGAGTCCATGAGCACACCTTTGACTTTGTTGCCCGGCAACATTCCGTTAATGGGTTTTAATGTCTCGAAAAGTTGCTCATATTTCAAACGATCTATGACACTAATAGACCAATCGCCACTTATAATCCCTCCGCTAGCTACTGGAACTGTTTGTATGCGAGGTGGTAAAATTTTTGGGATATCACCCTAGTGTATAAAAAACCAAGCAATCAGAACATATTTTTGTTGATTTTTCAATATGTGCATTTTAATTATTTCATAACAAAAACTAAATAAATAAAACGAAATATATATTAGTCGTGGAATAATATGTAGTTGTGTAATCAAAATTAAATAGTATTACATTAATCTATTTTATGTATTATTTAGAAATTTTGTACTTACAACTTTTGGTGGATTCGCTGTTTCTGTATATATATTACTCATATTTATCACTTGACCTGCCTGAGCCAGTGATACGAGTTTTAACGCAACAAAGAAACCAGGTTTATCCAAAAACCCCTTTCCGTTAGGATCTGATAAATCCCAAACTCGGCTAAGCACAACATCACTAAGACCAGATTTTTTTAAAAATTTCGCTGCCGTCATGGCTTCTATAGCACCAGAACCCTTTGGGTCAATCTACACATTTACAAACACAAATTAAACCTTTAACACGACAAAAGTATAAGTAAAAATCAATAGGCGTATCCGCTGCACAGCGGTTATACGCAACAGAACAAATTATTCCATGTCAACCCTCCTCCGTACCTGTTTGTAATATGCCTCATAAATGGCAGCGTGTTTGCCGCACAATTTCGCAAAGTCTAAATTCATTATTTAAATCCAGTGTACTCTTTCTCAATCCAACACAACTTCGACGGCAAATTAATCTGTACTATGAAGATACGATGATACTTCTGTTCATTCAAGAAGAAAACTTTTCCAAAATTCTCTTATCACAAAATCGATAAACAGAAAAATTCTGACAGTTGTAAATCGATTTTGTCTTAACACACATAACGACTTATATACCTTAATACTTCTGTAGAGTTGCTTGAATGGTCTAATTTATTTCGAATGCCAAATAGTCTAATTGTAGTATTAATGTAAAAACTATATTTTTGAATAGCAAGAGAAATTGAATAAAATCTTCTTCATACAACGTGCAAATGTTACCAATAAGAGCACTATGTCAATAAAAATTTACGGAAATTCATTCATTAGGTATATACACCTCTCTTCAAAAATTTGTTACAAATTATTCATTAACTAGCATTGCAACTCTGACATCACACCTTTATTCTATCCTTCGTTATTTTTTATATGCATCAAGTTTTTGCGTTAATTCTATTCTTTTAACATGAATTCATTGAATTCCTTCAAACAAATTTGAATTCTCACTTCAATTGAACTTTGCATTAACTTCACAATTGGTAATATTCACTTTTTATTTCAAATTTGACTATTATATTTGATTAAATTACTTTACGACAGCATTTTTCAATACATTTTCTAGAGATAGCAGCTGTTTGTCGCAACTTGGGATTGATAATTTTATATGACGTTATCGAAATTATTGATATGACATTGCCACGATTAGTATTCTGTTCTGTTATATTACTACACTCAGACCTATTCATCAATAAAATGTGTGTACATTAAAAATTAGACGTCATATATTACCTGCTTTGTGAAAATTATGGGAGTTTTTACATATACAGATATGTAAATTTACTTAACCATAACTAAACTTAAACAAGTAAGTTGCCGTTTTTCATTAAATAAATTTAAAGAAAATCAACCTATTACAAAAACTTTTTTTTTCCTAATTTCGGAATTTGCGTCGTATACAAAATGTTTAAAATTTTATTCTGTTCAATTTGCTTAGTTTTACATATATTATTTATAATAATATATTTTTGTCTAATGAAAATTTAATTTATTCATGTTTATAAATAAAAAAATTCCCCTTATTTTTTGACTGTGTATATAACACTTTAACATTACCAATTCTACAGAGCAGTGTGGCAACGCTCAAATATCATTTGTTTATACCGCTTTTATTTTTCCGCAAACTTGGTATTACCATTAATAAAATTTAAAAAATACTACGAAAGTAAATTACACAAACTAAAAGACGTGTAAAATGTCCGAAGAAAGTAAAACAGGAAATATAGAATCCGAAATGGATGAAACCCAATTGGCAGATGTAACGGAAAATAAAATAGTCAATGAAACAAATTGCGAAAATGTGAACTTACATGTGGAAGCCCACGATATCATTGACAAAAGTGACGAAAGGCCATGTATTGTTGAAGATGTTAGCGCTCTAAGTGCTGGAGTTAGCGATAAAACTAACGAATGTACTACACAAAACAAAAACATAAATAAAATGGAAATTGCAGGATCAAGCGAACATCGTACAACAAGTTCTGAGAAGAGTGAAGAAATGGATGTAGCAGAATTAACGGAGGACACAGACATAGCATCAAAAAATGATGAAGTTGTTGGTATGAATAAAGAAAATAGGGTAGCTGATCATATAATTGGTTTTTCACCTTCTATCGAGACAAATGATGTACAGTTAGAATCAGAAAAAGTATTAGAAGGTTTATTAAGTAAATCGTCTGAACAAAAAAGTGATAACCAAATGGAACCTATGGAAATAGACACTCATAATTTACCAATTTCTGGAAGCCTTAGTGATGAAGGAAATGAGGATAGCCAAGAATCATTGCCACTCGTAATTGATGAAAAACCATCTTCCCCCAATGAAACAAACATAGAAGCTCCTTTGCCTTCTCTCCAAGTTAATAACTCTAATCCCAATGAGCTAACTATAGATAACAGTAACAGTCCAACAACAAACAATGAAAATTTGGCGATTGACAAGCTAAAACGCAACCAGTGTGCAACTGAAAATATCATTGAAATAGATGATGACAATGAAGAAACAAAAACAGAGGAGGACCCAGATGTGGAAATAACTGAAACAAGGAGCGCTTCCTATATTCCAGTAATCGAAATAGATGATGATGATGATGATGAAAATGAAAATCGACTAGAAGATAGTACGCAGAAGGATAACGTAAATTGTGAGGAATCCACTTCATCTACGCTTACAAAAACTGCTACTGCTTTATCTTACGAAAATAGTGATAATAGTAGCCATAAAGACCACGTTGAAGAGGGCACAATTATAGATAACACAAAGTATTCATCTATTAAAGAATCAGTTGCAAAACCAGATTTATTAATGGAAACTGCAGTACCACCACAAGCTCGCGAATCAGACGATATGGAACAGATTGAAATTTTCTACAACCAGGAGTGCATTAATCACGATTGTCCCCGGAACCACAAACAGTTTTTCTTAGTACCCCAATTCGCTTTAAGCCACTTTAAAGTAAAGAAGAGACGTAGCCAAAAGCAATATATTTGCGCAGAATGTTATGACTGTGCTCTTGACACATATGAGGTAAGTATGCATATTGTTTTGTAAAATATTAAATTACAAAAAAAATATTTTCTAGGAATACTGCGGTTTAATGAAAGCTAAACAACCTTTACTTTTAAAAAATATTAATGTGCAAGGTCCTGAGTTTGTGGAAATCACAGACAGCAGTGACGATGATGACGAAACGTCTACAATGCAACAAATTCAAACAGGTATACAAGTATACATACATACATATATATAGGTATACAATGAATTTCCTGCTGATTACTACTTTTTTTTTTAGTGAAAGGATCATTTTCTCAGGCGAATTTAGATCTGATAGAAGCTGAACTGGAAAGCTCGATTAAAAATGTACTCGAAAAATTAGAAATACAAAACCAATTAACTTGGTCAAAAACAATTTTAGAGACTCGTACGCGTAGACTGGAAGAGGAATCGAAGCTAAATGATGAATTATTGCGATCATTACAGAGAAAGGCTGATCAGATGTACAGTTCACTTTACCAATGTCCGAAAATAAGATTACGACAGTTTCAACCTTTGGATTTGAACACCAATTTACCTTATTCGTTCCCTGAAGTCACAGTACGTTGTTTTTTGTTTGATAAATTTCTGACAAATCGTAATAATTGTTCTTATTTCTTAGCCTTGTCCGCCAGTTGGAGAAATATTACGACCACCTATCGAAATTAATCAAATTTATTATGCTGTAAAGAATAAGGCAATAGCTAGCTGGGTGCCCTGTAAGGTGGTTGAGCAAGTGGAATCTAGCTCAATTTTAGGCTCGCATTCTAAGGTGTCGAATTATAAAGTGAAATTTTTGAAGCTGCAGTATCAAATGGTGAAAACAGTATCGGCGAAACATTTAGCCTACTATGATCCGCCCAAATTCCGACTTCCCATAGGTAAATATCACCCTAGATAAACCCTTGCGATATTTGTTTGACAGCTGAATTTACTTCCCTTAAAGGTTCACGTGTAATTGCTTACTTCGATGCCACTTCTTTGTCACGAGGTAAAGAAAAAATGATGATACAAAGTGCTTTTTACCCAGGAATTATTGCGGAACCTTTGAAACCGAACAACAAATACCGGTATTTCACATCAATCAATTCTTTGTTCTTTTTTTATTTATTAATACTAATATAATTTTTAGATATTTAATATTCTATGATGATGGTTACACTCAATATGTTTCGCACAAAGATGTTCGTTTGGTGTGCAACGTTTCCGAACATGTGTGGGAGGACGTACATCCTGCATCTCGAGAATTTATACAAAAATACCTAACTCAATACTCCATCAACCGGCCAATGGTGCAGACTCAGAAAGGGCAAAGTATGACCACGGAGTCAAATGGCAAATGGATTTATGCACGAGTTGTAGATATTGATTGCAGCTTAATACAAATGCAATTCGAGGGGCCAAAAAGTCATACGGAGTGGATTTATAGAGGATCGCTGCGTTTGGGACCGGTTTTTAAGGAGTATCAGAAAACATTACAAAAGGATACACTACCTTTACCCCGACTAGCCAGGGTAAAGAAACAACTGTGTGCAGCACTTTGCCGATTGATTAAACTTTATGTATTTTATTAGCGCACTGAACCATTTATTCGTTACACCGCTGATGAGGAGGCAACTACCGCGCAACAGGAGCAAGTAAAGGAGCGCGAACGTGAACGTGTGTCGTCCACTGAGCCACGAGCTGTTGCTAAAAAGAGCGTGAGTCGCTTATCAACCGATTCAATAACAGCAAGTAGTACGCAATCGCATGCGTCGTCATTACCAACTGTGCGTCATTTGAACAACTCTACTATTTACCTTGAAGATGAAAACAAGCCGAAAGGAAAAGTAGGCTGCACCGTTTTATTTTTGAGATAATTGTATGCTAAGAGAAATTTCTTTATTTTTAGGTTGTCTACTATACTGCTAAGCGAGATTTGCCACCATTAACATATCGCGCTCATAAATGCTCATCATCATGTTTATTTAAGATTCCGCATAATCTAAGCGCCTACAGTCCACTGTCTAAACCGTTGCTCTCTGGTTGGGAACGCCCTATATTGCGCTTGAAGAATAAAAAAATAGTGGCCTACCGTGGACCGTGTGGAAAAATTATGCGCAATATGGAGGAAGTTCGTCGTTACCTTCGTGTAACTGATAACACACTTAATGTTGATAATTTCGACTTCCATCATGAAACCAGTTGTTTGGCAGAGTACGTAATCGAATCAGCTATTGTACAAAAACGCGATATTTCAGGCGGCCAAGAAAAAATGGCGATACCCTTAGTTAACTATTATGATAATACATTGCCACCTGAGTGTGAATACGCCGCACAACGTATACCGACAGATGGTGTAAATCTCAATTTAGATCCAGAATTTTTGGTCGGTTGTGACTGCGAAGGAGACTGTTCGGTAGTTAGCTAAAAGAAAAAAAAATGTCTCTAATTCCTAATATATTTAACATTTTCTTTCAAGGATAAAGAAAAGTGTTCCTGTTGGCAACTCACCTATGCAGGCGCCAAGTATGGAAACCCAAATACACCAGTGGCAGAAATCGGTTATCAATATAAGCGTTTGTATGAGCACGTTCCGACAGGAATTTATGAATGTAACTCAAGGTCAGTTCACTCAATTGTTCGTACCCATGCATGTGAATAAGTCGTATTTATGGATAACTATTTTTAGGTGTAAATGCAAAGCGAACTGCTTAAATCGTGTAGCACAGCAGAATTTAGCTATGAAACTTCAAGTATTTAAAACCTCAAATCGTGGATGGGGCTTGCGTTGCATAAACGATGTGCCCAGAGGCAGCTTTGTTTGTATATATGCTGGTCACTTGCTAACCGAAGCAAAAGCAAATGAAGTAAGAATCTACTTATAGGAATTACTAGAATTTTCGTTTAAAATTTGTGTTGCTAGGGTGGGTTAGATGCCGGCGACGAATATTTCGCAGAATTAGATTACATAGAAGTAGCGGAACAAATAAAGGAGGGTTACGAATCAGACGTTGAACCTCCGGAGATTGAAGAAGAGGAGGTTTGCATATAAAAATAATGTTTGCAAATTAAATAAGACTATTTTGTATGCATATATATAATTAGGATACATATGCCCCAGATCCAGAAGATGATGATGAGTTCACACCAAGTAAATCGTTCTTAACACGCGCCAAAAATAAGGCACAGAAACTGACACGTAGCAGTTCGACTCAAAACACGGATGAAGACTCGCAAGAACGTCAAGTAATTAATTTTAATCCTAACGCGGATATGAATGAAGATTCCACACGAGAATCGTAAGATCTCAGTTTTAATATAGCTAATACATCTTGTATTTTCAATAATATGCAATATTTTTTAGATCTATACGAGGCCTATTTGGAAAGGATGAGGCGTGTTACGTAATGGACGCAAAAACCATAGGAAATCTTGGACGCTATTTTAATGTAATTACAATTCGGTCCATCCTATGTTAAACACTTTATGCAATTTATGGTTTTTTATTTACAGCACTCATGTTCACCCAATCTCTTCGTACAAAACGTTTTTGTCGACACCCATGACTTGAGATTCCCTTGGGTAGCATTCTTTTCCTCCACTAATATTCGGGCCGGTACGGAACTGACTTGGAATTATAATTATGAAGTTGGCGTAGTGCCCGGAAAAGTACTATACTGTCAATGTGGTGCACCAAATTGTCGTCTGCGTCTTCTATAAATAAAAATTTCAAAATTAAGTTTCAATTTTGTTTATGTGGAGAAATAAAAAAAAACATGTGAATCTCTGATAATTTTTCTTAATCTATTTGGAAATGAAGTAAAGTAAATCATTCATCGATATCGGTATCGTTGTGGTTTTCACCCACCGCTATACGTTGTAGATGTAATTTTAGAGCATTGTCTGACTTTAAATGCGCCATATTAATATACTGATTGTTTCCACAGCCAGCAACAGGACAACTAAAAAAAAAAAGGTTTAATGCATATACATGTATTGTACCATAAGCAAATTATATTTTATACCGAAGTTTTGGTTTAATTTGTATTGCGTCCTGTATACTGGTCCTTTCATAGATATGTCCACAGTTTATATTTTTTACGGGATCTATCATTCGTTTTTTTGTTATGGGATCATTTATGTTCACTTGCATGTCCATTTCTATTAAAGCCCCGTCTTTATTTGTGGTTGACGGTAAAATCTCGCCACTTGCACTTCTGGATATGTCCTCTAAACGATCAGAGAAAGCTTTATATTCTCGAGTTTTTTTGGCTTGAACATTTTTTTCAGCTCGTTTTATTGTCCCCTGAAAAACGGACTCAAAATCAGCAATGGTACGTTCCTCCATAGCTACTTTCAAGGCGTCTTCATTACGAATGGCATCTTTTCTAATTTGACATATTTGCTCCATTAGTTGCAAATATTTGCTTTTATCTTTTTCCTCTACAAAATAGATTATATTCAATGCACACAAGAATTTTTTGCATCTAAACAACAAATACCATTATCTCCATAAGATTCAGCTAATTCATAAGTTTCCAAAAGGCATTGTTGAGCCTTCTCCAGTTCGGACTGAAGAAAGTCACCCATTTTATTTTTTATGTATTTAGTAATTGTAATTTCACCCGAAATGGTCAAATATATTTTAATTAAATCTCAAATTCAAATCGCACTTACAAAATAATATTTCATGGCATTATTAACTGTCTACAAGGTCTATTAATTTTATAGTAAGCAATAAATAGCGAAACATTCACAGCATGTAAAACCCTGGAAGCCACCTATCTTTTAAATAAGCGGTTAGTTACCCAATAGCGCTACTAAACATTTCTGTTAGCTTCTACGATTGACAAGTCTAACCAAAAATCTTTCGCACGTGTGATGGTTCATCTCTTTCTTACACAATTGGTTTGGAAGGTGAATATGGGTTACTTTCCACCCAAATTCTTTCAGTGTATTGAAGTTTCGGTATTCGTAGCTTGCTGGTGTAGCATGTAATGATATATATAATGGTCCTATATTCATCAAAATTTTTAATCTCTAATGTTTATTTACACATGTGAATTGTGAATAAAAAGTAGTAGTCTGAACTAGGTTTGTTAGCCATTTTGTTATGTCAAGATTTTGTCTTTTTTCAACACTGATTGAGAGCACTCTGTCTCGATTCATTGTTTACCACTTTAGGACGACAAATTCTCAAAGCATATGATAATATAAAATATAAATACATTGTAGTCTGCTTGAAAATCATTATATATACTGTTTTGTTTAAAGAAAGCCAAGTTCTGAAAGTAAAATATGAATCCCAACATGAATATGCATAGCATGCAACAGATGAACATTTCGCAAGTCGGTGGACCAAATCAAATGATGCAGCCTGGGGTATCGCCAGTTTCTATGATGCAAGCTTCCCCTCAGCAACAAATGCAAGGCCAAATGCAAGCGCAAGTTTCGAATGCCGCACAACAACAGCAGCAGCAGCAACAACAACAACAACAACAACAGCAAGCTGAGAAAATGGATAACATCCTAAAAGTCAAGAGCTTACTGTCGCCATTACGTGAGTCTCTTTTTCTTACACTGCGTACTGGAGCTTTCTCGTTGCAAGAACATAATTTAGCAGATAATCTTAAACGCGACGCCGCATCGCACGCTGGACGATTTGAAAAACATTTGGAAGACTTTTATGCATATTGTGATCAAATCGAGTTACATTTAAAAACAGCTATTCAATGTATGCAACAGTTATCATCTGCACAACACTATTTGCCGAGCGCAGTGACGCCAGCTCGTATGGAACCATACATGCAAGATAATTCTGGTGGCCCTATGACATACTCTACGTATCTGAACATTGTTCGCGTGCATGTGCAATCAGCTAAAGATATCCACGATACTTTAATTAGTGCGGCGCAAAACATATCTCAGGCTGATTGATGAATACTCTAAATAAAAGTACTATTGTGCAAGCAAAAAAAAAGAAAACTTACATTGTAAAAACTAAAAAAATTAATTAAAAACTATTAAAGAGCAAAAAGGTGTTTGTACGTATAAATCTTATACACATTATTATTAAATAATGACTAATTATATATATAAGAAAATTATTATTTTTCATTCTGTGAAAAAATTATAAATACTTTTTGGATGTAAAACATAATTACAAATATATCAATTAAAAATGCATATACATATATACATAATAAAATATGTATTTTAAATGACAAGTTTGGTGACAACAATTTGTAAGAGAATCATTCATATTCCAATTATTGTGTATCTATATACATAAAGATATGTAAGCTTTTTATAATATAAATCTAATTCAAGTATGAGTGTTAAACTACAAAGCTTTTATTATTACTTTTTTTTCGATGGCATAATATTAACATTCTACGCCGGTTGAGTTTCTATCAGCACCTTAATGTACCTATATATTTATCTGTATGTAACATGAATGTATGTGTGTATATCAGTGTATAGTATTTTGATCACTCTCAGCAATATCACTTTATATAGCTGGGCTTAGCCGTAACTGAAAAACAGACAACTGAATTTATGGAAGTTCAGTCTATTCAGTGCGCTCATTTAGTGAAGAACATTAAAAAACGTAGTTAGCAAAGTGATTTGTTAAGGGAAAGAGTAAGTACTTAATGATTAATTAACAAAATTTTCCACTATTTCTTTGTTTTTCCATCACGCTTTGAATTCGGCTTAGGTGATTGAAATTTACTAGAAATTAATAAAGTGCATTGCAATAATTTAATAACAGATTAATTACGCATTTGATTGTTACGTATTAATTAAATTATTTCTTGTGTCTAAATTTCAATTAGCAGTCAACGTTCGAACAGAACTACTTAAATGCCTGTCAAAGTAAATAGTTTGTGCAAAATTATAGTACTTTTTCCCATATATCTGTAAAAAGTATACACTCATAACATACACTGTTTATCATAGGTGATGTAAATACATATACACACATCCATACATATGTATGTATATAATCTAATAAATACACGTTCGTACGTACCTATTAAAAAGTTTGCATGCACGAGAGCTTTTGAATGTTTTAAATTGACTGGTTATACCCTGAACAGGGTATATTATTGCCAAGAAGTTAGTTATAACCAGACCCTATAAAATATATATATACAATAAATAGTCAGCGTAAGGAGCTGAGTAGATTTAGCCATGCCCGTCTGTTTGTATATACGCGAACTAGTCCGATCAAAATCAAGTTCTTGTATGAAAACTTTTTAATAGTGTAGGGTATTATAGCTTCGATGCAACCGAAAATAATGTTTTTTCCTGCTTTCACTTGGTTTTAGTTTAGTTAGTGTGCCGCCAATATCATGCAAGTACCCTTTAATGCAAGGGGTAACGAAAATTAAAATAAAAATCGTAGAATTCAAGCGTAAATTTACTTTATTTTATTCCAATATATGTATCAGTTGCAGGCAAACAGCAAGCATTAAAGTATTCAGAACAATAATATTGATATTTAATCTATTTCCATTAATTTTTAGCAAATTAAAATGGCGAAACCAGTTTTGTACTATGCTACACTTAGCCCACCATCGCGTGCTGTTTTATTAACAGCAAAATTACTTGGCCTCGATTTGGAATTACGGTATGAATTTTGAAGAATATATATATATTTTTTAATAATTAATACAATTTTCAACAGTCCTGTTAACCTACTGAAAGGCGAGCATCTAACAGACGATTTCATTAAAATGAACCCACAACATACCATTCCCACTTTAATAGATGCAGATGGCGTAGTGGTCTATGATTCGCATGCCATTTGTGGTTACTTAGTGGACAAGTATGGAGAGAATGACAAATTGTACCCAAAGGATATAGTAAAACGTGCGCAAGTGAATGCACGTCTACATTTCGATTCTGGTCATTTATTTGCACGCTTGCGTTTTCTTTATGAACCGATTTTATATTGTGGTTCAACCGATTGCTCGATGGATAAAATCGCTTATATTCAAAAGACGTATGAAATCATGGAGGAAATGTTAAAGGATCACCCCTATGTATGTGGTGAGGATTTGACAATTGCCGATCTCTGTTGTGTGGCAACGATAACTTCTGTTGACGAAGTCGCCCCTATTGATGAGTTCAAGTTTCCCAAATTGTTAGCTTGGTTGAAACGTTTATCCGAACTACCTAATTATCAGAAAATCAATCAAGATGGTGCTGACGAACTGAAGAAAATCTTTAAAGAAATTTTAGCTAACAATCGCACAAAACAAAAGTAATTAAGGCTTTTGTATTTAAAAAAAAAAACTCAAAATCGTTTGATAATATAAGATTAGTTTTAGAATAACAGATTAATATTTGTACAATAAATTTTAAAATGTTTATTCCTAAAGGGCTTCTTTTAATATGCACATCCATTTGATATCAGTCGCGTTGGTAGCCAAACATGAACTATTAATTCTAAAAATGTCTACAGTGTTGCATTCATACGTATGTACATATGTATATAAAACCTTGATCTGTTGACCTATTAGAAGAATGTATTGGGCAGTCGGAACAACAAACGATGGATTTACAAAGATAAACTTTGACAATTTTTTCAATCAGCAATTATAGTAAATGCTCCAAAGAAAATTTTTGCTACTTAAAATTTAAGTTACTTTTATTCAAAAAAATTAAAAAGTGATATTTGTGACTGATTCTCAAATAAATTCATATACTCGTACATACATATGTGTGAGGACAATTGTTTGTATAAGGGAAAACTAATAGCATGTGTATGTATATACAAATCTATTCTACAAATCTGCAAAACATGATTTTAATATTCGTTCGCGAAAATTCACATTCGTTTGCGATAGAATGTGCTATTATGCATGGAAAGTTTCTTTTCGAATATATGTTGCGTAGAGAAAAAAATTTTGTTTTAAATTATTTATTTACTTTAAACAAATAATTAGAGTTGCGTAAACTACTACATTGATAATTAGTAATTGTGTATAAATATTCCTGTTGGTTAATATTTTTTATTAAAACTAAACCCATTTTATATACGGGCGAATGTTATAGGTTTAGGTCACATTATTGTTAACAACAAACAAAAACTTTCAATATGTTCAACATCCTTACTATCTTCGCACCGCAATCTCGCAACACACCAAAAAATACGTGAATTTGAGAGTCATCATAGTAAAATATACCAATCTTGTTCATTTCTAATTTGTGTGCATATTTCTTTCATAACATTTGAAAACTGGCGTAACAGAAACTTCCTAACAACACATCCACTCATTCTCCTTTCATTTGCAGTTTTTAGATGATTTTAAAATGAAGTCATTCCATGCAAAAATATGCTTGTTTTACATCTAGTCATTACGTCGAAGGAAGTTTTTGAGTCTTTCCGGCAGCGGTAACTTTTCAATATTTTGTAGTTTTGTATGTAATAGTATTGCATCTCGACAAGCGTTTTGAAGTGATACGACTGATTAATAACATGAAATAAATGGGAAATTAAACTGTTTGTTAAAATACTAAATCTCTTTCATTAATATATGCTTACTTCCATAAAGTTGTATTATTCGAATTTGTTTCGTTGTGCCATAAACGTCAATGACAACGTGGAGTGGAGATTTGTCCATAGGTATTTCCTTTGTGCATGGACCCTGATCAACTCCATTTATAATGAAGTGCATCTCGCCTTTGTCTTTATCAGCTTCAGTAGGCACATATACGACGCCTATCCGTGAGCCCTTATCAGTCAGCAAAATACCTGTATTGCCATCGCCATTATCAACAGTTGGACGCAATAAGCGCTTTGGAACCATACCACGTGAAGTGCGTACATAAATAGAATCTCCTAATATATTATCTGTTAAAGATGTAAATATTGTATATTTTTTATTTACTGGTTATTAATTAAATGTTACTTCGAGATATTGTCTCGTTTTCTATGACAGCGCCAGATGAATTATCCTGCGCCCACACAGGCTCCGTAGCATTTTGAAACAGCGGATTAGTTTCTATGACACCGCCGGCGGCACCACTTCGCTGTGATAAGGAATGAGATTCAAATTTTGAAATGGGGTAGATCCAACTAGTTCCTAAGTTAGCCAAATCAGGTAAAGCAAACTGTGGCAAGCCTTCGGACATTGATCCGATCACATCGGGGAGCAATTGTGTTAAACCGAGCCTTATATGACCAGACCAGCCACGTTCATTTTTCTCAATTTCAACAAGAAATATTTCGCCCGGTTGTAGTGGTTTTTCCGAAAACGTAACTGCATCCGCAAAACTTGCTTTTCGGTAAGCGACTGTATTATCTTCACACAAAATAATATTGGCGCCGTGATATGGATGGAATCGGGCTAATTGCCGTTTATTATTGGTATTACCGGTAGGTAGATTTTCTGTTGACCCCACTGTGCTAGATCCCGGTGAAGCACACGAAGCTGTTGGCACGGCAGATATGCCTACTTCCATCTGGGAAGTACCTGGTATTGTTGAAACTTGTCGCGGTATTGTAATTTCACTACTCATGTTAATAAGGTGATATCCGCTTTTAGTATTTATTATTTTCTCAGTATTTAAAATCTATTCAATAATTTTTTCATAGCTGTGAAATGAAAACAAATATATCCAAATCTACGCTTTCGTAGTAATGTCAAACCATGGAAGTCTGTTTTATTGAATGAACTTTGACATATCTTAAATTGTGGTTTGATTTGGCAGCACCTGAAACACAGTAGAGGTAATCGCTGTTGTTACGGCTTTTTATTAATTCTGCTAGTTTATGTGTATAAATTCTAATAGAAATATCTTTAGAGTATTCCGGCGTGTAATGCAGTTTTCTGCACAAATAAATTTCAATAAAACTGGGAAAATTTTTTTTCGCAATAGAATTTGTTTATGTACACGTACATATACTTAGTTTTTATACAATTACAATGGTTGTCCCACTAAATTAATAACATGAAAACGAAACTGCTCAGTAAATAATGCATGATTCTATTCCTCTATCCTTATGTTCATTGTCACTGCTCTTTTATTTTGCGTTACTGTATTTTACCGATATCAGCTGTTATTTTAATTGTATTGGCAGCACTGTCGAGTTCATGTAACCAAAAAATAATAAATGAATAGTTTTTTGACTGAAACGTTACCCGCATATATAATAAGCTCAAGAAGGTATATATTTGATAAATGTGAAGATATAAATACATAATTCCTTTACAGTCAACATATTTTTCGTTATCTATTATTTTTGGAATTAGAAATGCGAGTGCCAACCGCCGTATTCGCTTACAAAAATCGGGATGCTCGCGCGCCTCAGAAAGAACACACAGTACCTTTTCAAGAAATTCTACCTTTGCGGCTAAAAAATAGAGTAAGCGGCAAGGCAGATTCTTCATCTGATGCAGCATGTTTACAGGAAATGGGTGTCCTTTTTGCGTGTCTCAAAGACAATGAGTTCGTGGAGAAGTACTGTAATAAGGAAATACAGCAATTTCAAAAATGTTATAAATTCTATGCAGATTCGAAGTTCGAGGCAAAGAAAACTGTAAACCAGGGTATAATAACACCTGGGAAAAATCTGAACTACAAACAACTCAACAAGTATATGAGACGATTTCCTAATCCTCTATAAGCATAGTTTTATCATATGTAATAAATAATGAAGTGATTTAATACAATCCATGCTGCAAGTCATAATAAAGTTTAAAATCAATGAGAAACTTTTATATTAAATGTATGTACATTATGTATAGAAGACCGTTTATTTATTTATGTGTTCAAATATTTGTAAGATAAAAAGAATTTATCTTATTGTTTAAATTAAAATACAACATCCACCTCTCCAAGTCCTCCAGACGACGAAGGAGACGATTGACCCAGGACAGTAACAAAACCAGAACCTCTTCCAACTAAACCAACCCTTTGCCTCAATTCGTACAATTCCGTCATAAGCGATTGTTTTTCACGCTCTAGCAATGCTATTCGGTCACTTTTTAAGTTCACCTCATTAGTAAGGCTATGATTTTGTTGACGCAGGCGATCCACTGGTTGAAATAGTCCTCCACTATTGACATTTCGCTGACTCGGTGTTTTACCAGGAGGCCTGATAGCAAGATTAAAGTGTAAGGGAAATCCTCCACGTTCCCAGCAATCAGCAAGAGCTGTCAAATTTCGATTTACTTCATACACACGTGCGCGTTGGAATTCCAATCGCTCTTGCTGCACTTCTGACCATTGCTCCTACGCAAGTATATAATAATTACATTAATTAAATCAAAAAAATAACGTCTGTATTGACTATGAAGTTACTCACAACGTGTCCCATTCGTCCCAAATATTTAATCTTTTCTTGGACATTGTTTACTTGTTGGAGGTACCAGTCACGCGCCTTCTCTACGGCATCCAAACCGGTTAAGAGAACTTCACGTTCCTCCTCGAATTGTTTTAAGCGTTTTAGCATATTGTAGTCAATGCCATTCTGTAGTGTATGACGTCGTGGTTCTCTTCGCTTTGAACTGCCCTTTTTTGGATGTAGAGTTCCGACATTACCTGTAACACTATCTGTTGTTGATGACGACCCACCATCGGCACAACCTCGATATGGGAATTGATTGTACATATATGCAGAATTACGTTTCTCATTTGTCCCCATCTCGCTCAACAGTATACCCATTTGCCAATTTTGTAATGCATGCCGTATCTCCGCCTTATCCAGCGGTGTAACTGTCGAACTTGGGACGCCAATCTGAGCAGTGGCGGAGGCGCGTGGAGGTTTCGGTGGTGGCGGTGGTGAGTTGTAAACGCCAATGTCAGTGCTTATCATTTCCGTCTCCAATTGGCAGTCTGGACTTAATTGTGGTAAACTGAGTGCCCGATGTGCTGTGACAATTTTTTTTGGACGCACAGTGACAGTTGTGGCGTTCCCATTCCATGCAATAGCGCCATGCACAGTACTATCAACATCTAAAAGTGGTGCGGAGGGAGGTCGGGGCGGTTTGATTGGTGAGACCACATTATGCGCCGATACATCGTTTCCGCCTGATGATGTATTGCTGATGACAGTACTTTGATTACGTAATAGACATAATTTCAAACCAGCGCAGAAACGATCAAATGACAAAAGTCCACTTGTAGGCGTTACCTTGCGAAGCGAGTCAATTACACCATGTGGTAATCCTTTGCAGCCATCGTCTTGCCAACCTTTCTCAATGTCTAAAAATCTCACAAAGCCCGTGTGCTGGTCGTCCAATATGTCGAAGAGTGTCTTCATTGAAGCAACAAATTGTTTGGGCAATGCGTCCATTGGGCTTCCGGATGTTGAAACACAACCGTTAGTGTTCATTACATTGAGTTTGGTGTTGTTCGGTTTGTTCATCATAGCTGGTCCATTGCGTTGCAACATAAGAGGAACTCAACTGAAACTAATAAATTTGCTTATTTAGTTATAGTAAACACACTGACTAATTTTTATAGGCGTGTCTTTCAAATTGAATGTAAAAATATTTGTTCTGCCTCTCCGACACCGACGTGCTTAACACTTAATTTGAGATCTATTCTACTAACAGCTAAAAACACATTTTTCATCTTATCACAGATTTTCCACAAAATTTTATATATTTTATAACTTAACAAAATAAAATCATAAGCTAAATCTCATCATTGTTTAAAAATAAATAAATCTTATTTCTTATAAATTTCGTAAATATTATTTTCGATATTTAGAACTTAAGCTGCATATTATGCACCTGTGCCCATGCTATTTGATATGGTGGTTTCTGCAGGAAAACCCAAACTACTCAGAGATATCGCTTCGACCTTTCAATACCGTCAGAGGAGTTTACTATCGTGTAAAAAAATTTTGTAAAGGCTATTGTCTAAATTTCCGCCGAATCGGACTCGTAGTTTTGTTTTGACCGCGTATGGAAGCGGACGTGTTTGCGAATTTTAGAAATTTGGAAGAATACCAATATCGGACAATTTGTTTTTTACAACGCAAAGTGCAAGCAAAGGGCACTTGGCTGCTTTATACGGAGAAATTTCTCCTTCGATGGCGACCCTCAAAAATCACCCAATGGATGTTCGCCGAAGAAGATGAGAACTGCCATATCGGTCTAAAACGTGATGACATTATTTTCCACATAAGCTGTGATCGACAAGTATATTGACAACCTGTAAAACAGCGTGCTACTATATACCGAATTATTGGCCAAGAAAAAAGTGTTCTTCCATCATGACATCGCATCGGTTCAAGCCTCTGCCTGCAGCACTACCATATTGGTCGAATTAGGCTTTGAACTGCTGCACTATCCGGCGTATTCTCTAGTTTAGGCCTACTTTGCAGACCTTCAATAAAAGTACTTTTCAGATGAGCTAAATATGTTGGAGCGTTACTGGGCAAGTGTAACTAGCTAAAAGGAGACTATGTTGTGAAATAAATCGCCAGTTTTCCAAGTTTTGTGTTTTTCTTTTCTAGGCTTAAGTACTTATCGCGCCATCCTCGTACATATATTTGATGCTTCCACCTCTGCTGTGAGAATACTACAAATTCGAATAATTCAACATTTAACACCACACTAACGTATTTCGAAGCCACAAGTTTTTCCAACTCAACGGATTTTCTCTTTTTAGTTAAAATTTTATTAATTCAACAATTAATTTAATTGCATGTGATAAATACAAATCTAAGTTGCAAGTTGCCACGGTTATCGTCGCCACATAAACAATATAGCCGAAATGAAGTGTGTACATATTTTAAGATGAAAACAAAACAAAAGATTAAAGATACGAACTTGTCTTGTCAAACCGCTTTTTTTTTGTCGCCACTTACGTGCTATGTAACAAGTTGCGCGCACAATATAACATAAAGTGTCGCCCAAATCCACGTGCACAATTTCAAAGGAATTTTATAATATTTTCAATGTGTACATACATTTCATTTCGTTATTGTAAAAATTCAAAATGAAATTATTTGCGATTTTTATTTAGAATTAGAATTCACAAACACTGTAGCATTTGCAATGGAATGCAATCAGTACGCGCCGAGCAGTCAAAATTCACTAGTGTATAGTGAACTCGCCCAGACTTGTTAATGTTGATGCTCACGCCGCCGCTGCTGCTCTGACTACTCAGACTACTGCTGCTGCCGCCGCCGTGGCCATCATAAACAACCAACTCAGAGCATCGGCGCGCTGCGATTTACCTTTATTTGCTATGCCAATATGCCCGCGAAGACTGGTTGCTGGCCCTGTCCGTGCCATTGGCGCTCGCAGTGAGCGCGACTGTAAGGTTCTTCAGCTTCCTAATCTTTTTTCAGACACTTCTTGGCTGGCTGACTGTGCAGAAGAAGTCAATAAAGCAAATCTCGTCAAAAACGTGCAAAAAATGCTAGACAGAAAATGCAGACTACGGCAAATAGCCGACGGTGCGTCACCGCAACACAGTTGGCATGCAATAAATGCGCGCGCACGCGTCCATAAAACCGACGCTGCATGTTGGCTTGGTGCATGTGTGTGCGGCTCACAGCACAATTTACGTCTCAGCCGCACTAGTGGAATATGTTATTGGTGGAGTTGGTTTGTTGGCGGCTGCATATAATTGGCGGTTTGTTGTTGGTCATGCGGCTGCTATGGCTACCTGTGAGCGCATGCGAATCTAGTTTTTTCCCTCTGCCTAGATATCATCGCTTTTTTCCCTTCCTCACACATACTCGCACATTGTACAAGATCATACATTTACATCATAATTCGAATATGTTGCATCGAGCGGCGCATATTTACATATTTTTTTGTCTCTTGCGCATCGTGTTCAACCTGGTGCAGCGCTCTGGGAACTGTGCATGTTGTGTAAAAATGTGATATTTACATGCAACTGTATAATGGGGGAACCGAAACATCGCGCATGAGCTCTATTCAGTGCGGCTCATCTATGCCTCACAGTTATTTGAACAATTTTAATACAAGTATTTACCTTAACGCTGCTTGTCATGATCACAATAAATGCACTCATATATATATATATATATCGGTACATGCTTACATGCTTTAATGCCTACTTATAACAGTAATTACAACATTACATTTCATTTTGCTTGTAGATAGCTGTTATTATTTTCCACAACTCAGTTTTACGAATACACACTCACCTATGCTGGAAAAGGTCACATGGTCTATGCAAATTATTCGTCGGTTTCAGCATTATTTTCTACTTACATGAAGACAGCATCTCAATTTGTTAGCCAACTTCAAGTGTGTTGCGTTTAGGTTAAGAATATAAATAAATTTCAATTGTTTTATGCGATTAACTGTTCCTCAACAAAATAAAACGTCAATAATCTAATTTCCGTTATTTGCTCATGTCAAGTTCCGTTGTTATTACACGAACATACTCCTGTTGAATTACTGGACATTACATACGATTATGGTCTAGAATTGGGTGACCATATTTTTTCCGGCAAAATGTAGTTATAGTCATCGATTTTTTCCATATTATAATTCACTGAAAATCGCGAGATATAAGAGGCGAGAGAGCAACACAATTTTATTCAATTCATTATTTTTTTAATTTCTAAGTCCGGGACGGCCGGGACGCTTAACTCGGAATCCGGACTGTCCCGGCCAAACCGGGACGAATGGTCAGCTAAGTCTAGAATGCGTTGTTATTTTGATTTATCCCAGCAAACGTTCTTATAAGCTTAAATTAAGGCCATTGTTATCCAAATATCTTTCAGATATGTATCGACATATATATACAATAATACTTTCATATCGCCACTCATAATTCTCGTTGGGTATAAAGTAATGTTTGTGACAGTTACTTTTGAAAATGTGTGGAAATACATATTAATTGGATGCGTTGTAAAGTGTTTTTGGATTATGTCGACGGGTTTTTTGAAACTTTTTTTCTGTAATTGTTTTAATAATTTTGTAGCATTAAATAAAATACTCACAGCTAAATGGCAATCAAAAACGGGTATCTTTCACGTGGACCGTTAGATATAGGTCGTCGCAGAGGAAGAAAAGGGGAATTCGAGTGTTCCTCTGTCAACTGGTTAGACTTTTTTCTAAAGTTGGTGGAAATCTAAGAGTGTTAAGTCCCTGGACGCGTATAATGTCATAGGAAGCTTTAATGCTTTTATAAATGGATAATTGTTGGAACACTCCAACTTTATATACATGTCTACGAAGGCTTTTCTTGCATTAGTACACAGTATACACAGGGCCGTAGAGAGATCGGGGCCCGGGGATGGTTGTGGTGAAATATTGGAGAAAAAAATCTACAAAACAATATTGCAAACCACAGTTCTCTCTGAGAACTCAGGGCCCGATCTCCCCCTTCTCTCCTTCACTGAGTATACATAGCGTAAAACCAGCTGATAGTCCTTCAGCAGAACAATATTTTTGAAAACTACAAAGTGAAGAATTGGTTACCGAGTGTCAACCATTAGGGTGCTACTAGGCGATTAAAAAAAATTATGGTATTGATGATTTTCATTCAAAAGTTGAATATGTTCTATCTTGTCCTACAATTATCAAAGCATTTCTGGCCCTCAAAAATTCCTTTGTTAATGTCGTTCTTCACTTTCGCAAAGAAAAAAGAAGTTGGCACTGTTGGGCAGAATATTTTGTCCTTTTTATGGTATATCTTCTTTGCTCTTCTATTAGAACAATTTGGTGCTATTCGACTGATCTTTCCTCTGTGCGTTATGAAATATTCAGGGGTGTTGTGGAATCCAAGACAAATTTGCGTAGTTGTCAGAATTGCAAACCAATTCTGATTTTCAATGGTGTCACAGAATCTGCTTGGATTTTCGTCTTTTCGAGCATATGCAAAACCAATATTCGAATCAGCTGTTTACTATTGTGACAAAACTTGCAAATGAATAAATTTGGAGGTGTTTGATAAATTTGAAATACCGAATAAAGTCTACTAAAGTTTACAATGAGTTCCGCTATTTTAGCTTTTTTTTATTGGAGGAAAAAACCACGAAAAAAAACTATTATACTCTGTAGCAACAAGTTGCGAGGTATACAAATTAAAAGGAAGATTTTAAAAGATCAAAGCAAGTAGGGGAGTTGCATGTCAAATTTGGCTTGCATTTACTTATATATTCGTATACATGCTTACTTTACAGATTTATATCACATTATCGACTGAATAAAGTCGCATTTAGGTGTTAAATTACACGGTGTTAAATTACACGACGTCAACGAATATCCTCTTGCTTTGTTTCTGATAACAAAACCGATGAAATTGGTTTCCGTGACACCCAAAACCGATAAAATTTCTGTTTCGAACGTCAAACCAATAATATCTGAATCTGAAATTTTTTTTATCGGTTTCAATTCTGATTCCGACAACTATCAGATTCTGTAACACCTCTGATTATCATAATGAGCATCATCATTAACATCTTTCAATAGCATCAAGTCGACTGCTCTAAATTAGACACTTTGGGTACAATAAGGGACACATGTCCGGCGCACAAAACTCTTCAAAGATTTATAAGATCCCTACCAACTAAAATACCATACATGTTCAGCAACTTCTCTATTGGTGATTTGGAACATACGAAACTGGGAATTTTGAAAAATCACCGTAATTTTCAAATACGTATGGTAAAACCACACGCCACTTATGCTGGAAACAGTCACCGACGCAAAACCGTAGACCGAATCAGCTGATACGACCAACTTATGAGAGCGCAATATTAATGAACATTCACCACCGCTTCTACCGTCCGCTTCTACAGACCGTATGGTAGGATATCCGCAAAAATTGGATTTCTCCCGTAGAAACGTTGCTCTCTTGCAACGCATGGTTGCCAGTCTCGATAATTTGTAGTAATTAAAAAATAAACTTAAATATATTGGAAATATTCTTAAGCTAAATCAAAATCACAGTCGAATACATTTATTTATAAATAGGTAAACTATTTTAAATAGTTGGATTTTAGTTATGAGCTTTTTCAATATGAAAAATTATAACTAAAAAACTAAATGTGTGAAAAATCGAATATACAAATTGAACAACGGCAACATTGGTCAAATGAAAACGAAAGAGAACATCAGATTTCTACGTTGCCACTACGGGCATAACTTTTGGCAAATTTGGTTTGAGACTGGCGGTAAGTACGGAAGGGCGGAATGTCGGCATTATGATTTACCATATATACAAATGTACATATGTGATTTCAATAAAAAACCAGTTTTTGTTTATACTAGTTGTATTTATATTTCTATAATTAATATGAATATCAGATAAAGATAAAGTTATTTATTATTTATATTTAAGTATTTAAATACTTCTGGAAAATTTTCAAAATAATACCAAAAACGGTGTACTTTTTGAAATACGCTTTGAAAGCTCAGGTGAAAAAGAAAGAGATACATGATTGCGATAAAATCGCACGAAACTGAGCTTTCAGATTTCCATTTATTGACCTAAACGGTTGCGAGCTATGTGTAAACGCTAGCACTAGCTTATAGAGTTTTAAATAAATGCTTAAACTAATTAGTCAGTATTTCGGTATTGAATATGTATTAGTACCTGCGAAGTTAAAATTCTAAAAACTCCTATTATCTGAGAGATATAATCTATGTAGATAGTATTGAGCTGGAATTTTAGAATGAAAGCTTCACCAATCGCTTCTTAATATTAAACTAACTCATAATGCAACGAAGCGGCGCATTTGTGCTTAAAAGTTAAATTAGAAGTCAGGAGTATAAGTAGGAGTCATGTTGGAGACTTTTTGAGATTTTTTTTAAACAGAAAACGTATACGTGAGTATTTTACGTCACTGCTGATTTGACATTTACAAATCCGCTACAGACTTTCTGCGCACATATTTGGCAAAGTAGTCTGGGCGCCAGCACTTGCATGAGCCGGGAATCAGGAACCAATCGTAGTACAAACGCACTTGGAAACAGCCGATATCATCATGCCCATCGCAGTGTTGATTGTATTCGGGTGCGTTGGCGTTGTTAGGACTGGTACCATCAGAGGCGGTGGCTACGCCGGCACGTTTCTGCAGATATTGCTGGTAAGCTTGGAAGTCTTGTACGGATGGTGCTTGCGTGGTTGTTGAGGTCGTCGGCACGGCCTCCTCAGCATTCGGGTAGAAAATTTCAGCAACAAGTAGGCTTACCCAACGTGGTGAGGATAGACAACCGCCGTCCAAATAATGACAGCGTGCTTGTATGCAGCGTGTTACTTCGACGGTTTGCGTGAAATAGCCCTCATATGGAATTTGCACTACGTAACGCCAGAAGCCCTGATAGTTTTTCGCAAACACTGGTGTAGCGTATTCAACCTTGGCAGGGCAGGGTGTGGGTGGACCCTCATAACGTATTGGTCCGATTTCCTCGCGACGTTCAGCTGTGGCTTGTGGTGTGGCCGAGGTATCGCCTTGGATGGCGCGGTATAAAGTACAAAAGCTGCAAGGATTTATCATTATTTAATTTATTCAAAATTATGTCGGCATGTACTCACACTCCACCGCCATCACAGAACTTGCGTGGTTTTCGTTCTTCGGTAGCACGACTATTTGCACGTTGTTCTTCATCCAGAGCAGGGTCGAAATAACTGAATTCGTGACCCTCGATTCGCGGCTGGCTTTGTTGCTGTGGGGGCGTGGCGCGTTTTGCTCGTGCGTTATAGTGACGATCGATATTATTGTTCTCCACCGCATCGACTGGTTCGTCACGTACAATTTGTGTCACCTTGGGCAAAGTATCATCAGCTTTAAGCACCGGCAGTGTTTTCGATAAAAACTTGAGTGTTTGATTACGTATCAATTCACTATAATTAGAATAATATTTTGTTTTAATTATTTCACACTTTCATCTAAATAATGCAATGCAAACTTACAATGGATACGGTTCGCCAAGAACATTCTGTCTCATTGGATTTTGTGGAATTTGTCCTTTGTTTAGATCACCACAAATGTTGTTAACCGAAACAGCGGCCTTTTTATTGCCACCTACATTCTTGCAGTCCACACTGACATGCGTATAGGGGGGTGGCCGCACTTTTGGCGGCACAGAATTCGGCGATTCAACAAAGGCGTAGTATCCTTCGGGCGGTTCTTCACCATATTCATTCGGTGTTTGCGCAGAAGTGTCAACGGCGATTAGCGAGATGCAGAGAATCTTCTAAAAAAAAAAAACAACAACAAGAACATGAGTCATCTTTTTCAACTTATAGTATATAGTGTGTATAACAAGTAAACTCGAATTTAAGTGAATTATTTGCGAACAGTGCGAGTGTGTGCAATGTCCACACATATGTGTATAACATATAGTTTTAACATGATTTTAACAGTTATTGTAATGCACATATTTATTAGGGTGGAGCGAAAAAAAATTGTAACTCGAAATTTACTTTAAAAGTCGCCTCTAGATGTTAAACATTTTTTTTTTGGCCAAAAATTTTTTTTTTTTGTTATTTACAAATTCTACCCTCAGGCTCAGCAAAAAAAAAATGTTTTTTCCCTCCACCCTAATATTTATCACTCTTTGATTCAAGTTATAATTCTTTGGGCTATAACGAGAGATTTTCAAAGCAATTCAAAAAAAAAAAAATAATAAGACTACTTGCAAAAATGTTTATCTGAAGATTTTTAACGAGGAAAAAATTGAACAACGAGTTTGTCCACTTCTGATAATGACGATAGCATTGAAAAAGCGTGTTAGCATCAGAGAGATAGCAGAGGATCTCAGTATCTCTTATCAGAATCTCTTTTGCAAAAATTACGTCGAGACGAAGTCGCAAAAGAGATGCTTGACAACGTAGCTGAGTACCCATTTCAAACGCAGCATTACTGGTGGCGAGATGTGGGTTTTTGAATATGACGTCGAAAGAGTTCAACAATCTAGCTAGTGGCGCTCTAAAGATGAGCTAAAACCAAAAAAACCAAAATTCGTTGAAAGCAAGGTGATAATGTAGTGTAGTTTTACGTCAGTCCGGGTCAAATGAAAGAACATGAAAACTAGTTTTATACCCTGAACAGGGTATATTAAGTTTGCCACGAAGATTGTGCCACCCAGAAGGAAACGTCGGAGACCCTATAAAATATATACATAAATGATCAGCATGATGTGGTAAGTTGATTTAGCCATGCCCGTCTGTCTGTCCGTCCGTACGTCTGAATATACGTGACCTAGTCTCTCAGTTTTTGAGATATAAATCCATGAGTATATAGCTGCCATACAAACTAAACGATCGGAATCAAGTGCTGGCATGAAACAATTTTTCAATTGACGAGATATCTGCACAAAATTTGGAACGGATCATTATCTAAGGCATTAATAGAATCTCCGAAGAAATCGTTCAGATCGAATCACTATAGCATATTGCTGTCATACAAGCTAAATGATCGGATTCAAGTTCTTCTAAAAAACCTTTTGTATTTGTGAAGGGTATTATAACTTCGATGCAACCGAAGTTAACGTTTTTATACTCTCGCAACTTGTTGCTACAGAGTATAATAGTTTTTTCACCTAACGGTTGTTTGTATCACCTAAACTATATCAAGTTAGATGCAGGGTTACATATATATAAATGATCAGGATGAAGAGACGAGCTGAAATCCGGGTGACTGTCTGTCCGTCCGTCCGTGTAAGCTGTAACTTGAGTAAAAATTGAGATATCTTCATGAAACTTGGTACACATGTTTCTTGGTACCGTAAGACGGTTGGTATTGCATATGGGCGTAATCGCGCCACTGCCACGCCCACAAAACGCCATTAATAAATTGCCTTAACTAAGCTCCGTAATAAGATAGACTGTTATTTGGTACAAAGGATCATCTCCTATCTCCTAAACCGCTGAAGCTATAATAACCAAATTCACTGAGAGCAAATGTTTTTAGCACCTCTATTGACGGTGTGAAATCGGGTGACAAGCCCGCCCACTCCCCATATAACGGTACTGTTAAAGAAGTAAGAAAGAGCTAAGTTCGGGTGTAACCGAACATTTTAAGCTCTTGCAACTTGCAAAGATCGAAGTAGGGAAAATACATTCAGATATAGCAAAACTTTATATTAAACTAGAAAAATGTTAATTTCAGCTGCACCGAAGCACTAATACCCTTCACGGGGTATATTTTTGTTTACATTTAACCAATTCTCTAATATTTGTTTACATTCGGAATTCTTTAGCTTACATTTTATGAGGTCAATGACCTTATTGTTTACGTTTAGCCAAGTCCACAACCTTTGACTAAATTTAGTCAAGTCCACAACCTATTTTCGATTTAGCGAAGTCAACAACCTTTAGGTCACTGACCCTTTTGTTTACATTTTATAGGGTCAATGACCCTTTTGTTTACATTATGAGGTCAATGACCTTATTGTTTACATTTTTCCAAAGTCAATGACCCCTTTGTTTACATTTTATGAGGTCAATGAACTTTTTGTTTACATTTAGCCAAGTCCACAACCTTTCGCTCAATTTAGTCAAGTCCACAACCTATTTTCGATTTAGCGAAGTCAACAACCTTTGTGTACATTTAGGGTCAGTGACCCTTTTGTTTACATTTTATGGGGTCAATGACCCTTTTGTTTACATTATGAGGTCAATGACCTTATTGTTTACATTTTTCCAAGGTCAATGACCCCTTTGTTTACATTTTATGAGGTCAATGAACTTTTTTTTTACATTTAGCCAAGTCCACAACCTTTGGCTAAATTTAGTCAAGTCCACAACCTATTTTCGTTTTAGCGAAGTCCACAACCATTTGTTTACATTTAGCGAAGGCAACAACCTTTGTTTACATTTAGGGTCGCTGACCCTTTTGTTTACATTTTATGGGGTCAATGACCCTTTTGTTTACATTATGAGGTCAATGACCTTATTGTTTACATTTTTCCAAGGTCAATGACCCCTTTGTTTACATTTTATGAGGTCAATGAACTTTTTGTTTACATTTAGCCAAGTCCACAACCTATTTTCGTTTTAGCGAAGTCCACAACCATTTGTTTACATTTAGCGAAGGCAACAACCTTTGTTTACATTTAGG